TCCACAGCACATAACAACAATTTTGCTCACCATTCTATGCCCATAGTCGAGAAGTGTGTCTAGAGCATAGAAGATGCTCTATAAAGACTTTCACAACCATACAAAGTAAAAATTTGCCACTTTGCACGTGGATTTAATGCCCCTGTGGACTAAGCATTGCTAACCTCAAGGTTGGTGGTTTAAACCCGCCCACTGCTCTTGTTACGTTTTTTCCCTGGTCCCTCTCGCTCTCAGGACGGGTCTACACAATTAGTTATACCAAGTTGACTCAGTCACACACTAACAATAAGCATTCACTTAGAATCTCTTCATTGCAAAGCAAAATTACGCTTCAAAGAGTGAAGCCGGTCTGTCTCCCTAAGAGAAGGAGATGTTTTTTGGGATTGGGGTGCACTGGTTTATAAACGTATGGGGTCTCTTCCTCCAAAGGTGTGCTAATACATATGAATTAGCAGTGGTATGTTGAATATTCATGATTTTTTAGTAAAGGGTTGCAGCCTTCATGGAAATGGGCACCTTCTGCAGTTGTCAGCTTTAGGCACTATCTTCATGGGTTGTCTACCTGCGACCTGATAGCCTTCTATCAGGGTTTCAGGTTCTGATATCCCTATTTCTGTCCAGTTTTATCCTTCTTGTTGGACTACAAATTGTTGTTGTTAGGTGCCATCGAGTGGGTACCGACCCATAGTGACCTAATGCACAGCAGAACGAAATCCTGGGCCAACCTCACTACTGTTGCCACGCTTGAGTCTTATTAATGCTGCCACTTTGCCAATCCATCTCTTTGGGGGTCTTCCTCTTATTCTCTGACCTTACCTCCACCTTACCAAACACGACTACAGATGTCCTCCCCGATTTCAGTGGAAGCCAGGGTAAGAGAGACTGAGAGCTCCTGGGGTCCTAACTTGTCTGTAACACCTTAAGAGAGAAAGATGAGACTTTCTGCTGCGGGGAAGATATGTTGTTGCTGTTAAGTGCCGTGGAGTCGGTTCCGACCCATAGCGACCCTGTACAGGGTTTCCGAGGCTGTAAATCTTTACGGGAGCAGAAAGCCTTATCTTTCTCCCGCGGAACAGCTGGTAGTTTCGAACTGCTGACCTTGAGGTTTGCAGCCTGATTCATAATCACTACGCTACCAGAGCTCCTTTTGGGGAAGCTATACAGTCTTGGAAACTAAGGCGCAGTACCACTTGGTTTACTTTTCAAGGAGCTAAGGGTGTGTTTTTTAGAGTCCTGGTGAGGCACTGTGCGTTAATACGCCAGTCTGCAAAGCCTCTGAACTGCAAGGTTGGCGATTCAAGTTCACCAGTCACTCCTAGGAAACCCTATACAGGGTCGCTATGGGTTGGAACTGACTCCACGGCACGTCACAACAAACAACAAGGGCATGTTTTAGAATGGACCTTCCTGCCCCCTTAAGAAAGTGAAGGGAAAACGGAAGAAAGCGCTGCTGGGAAAGGGGCGGAACCGGCGCAGCCTCGGACCGTACTTCCGCGCTCCTGCGACTGCAGCTGGGGACGGTAGAGCAAGGGCGTGAAGAATGCCGGAAGAGCGTAGCAAAGGCGTGTGCCCCGTGCTTTAGCTTCCGAGTACAGGTCAGTATTAAAAAAGGAGGCCCGTGCCTGCCCCTTTAAGATCGGCTCCCTGCCCTCCTTTAGCGCGGGCGGGAGGAAAACAACAGTGGTCACGCACACTTAGGGAACTTTTGCTCTTTCCAGCGTTGTTTACCAATTAATATAGGTCTCAAATGACCACACACACACATTTACATACTTCATAACTGATGCATCATTGGTGATGGAGTGGGAGGGGAAGGCGTCAGTCTAAATGACATGCCCAGATCCAAAAATAAGCTCATACTTAACTCTGCTTTGTTTTTTAGACCTGTGCGATTGTAGGGAAAACCTGAAAGAGCCCAGCAGCAGACACATTTTGCCATCAGCTGCTAACCTAAAGTGAGGTGAGTTAATCACTCAGCTGCTCTTTAAGAAAGGTCTGGTGATACTAGTCCATAAAGATTACAGTCAGGAAAATCCTGTGGAGCACATGGTGTCCCCCAGGAGTAGCTGACTGGATGACAACTAACAACACAGGAACAACCCAGTACTACTTAGCAGAATTAGTGTAATGTGATGTCAGGCTGCTAGATCTCCTGGAAGCCAGTTTTTGGTATCAGTGCATAAACCCAAGCCCTAACCCCACTGCCTCCAATCCATTCCAACTCATAGCGACCCTGTAGGACAAGAGTAGAACTGCAGGATTGCTGACGCTATAAATATTTCTCCCACTGAGAAGCTAGTGGCTTTGAACCACTGACCTGGAGGTTTGCTGTCCAATGCTTAACCCATTGTGAGACAGACCAGTGGAGACTTGCACTGAGCACCACTCCCAGAGTACATATCTCATTCCAAGGGCAGGGTTCACATTCCAGGAACTGAGCAACAGACCACCTCAGCCCCACTTGTTTATCACATCTAAACTCCTCCTGGCCTAGGCTTGCCTCCAAGGAGATAACAAGCCCCCAAGTTCAAACTTAACTTGCTTATGCTTCTGTAAACTCCCCACCTGCTTACTCTACTTGCTGCTCCCTCCCCACCATATGAAGTAGCAAATACCAGCATTACACACCTCCCTTTGCTCACTCTGTAATGCCCCAAGGACCCAAATACTAGATAGGCAGAGGTCCTTCCTATAAACAATAAACAATTGTACCACCAGCTCATAAACATAGGATCATTAACACCCACTGAAAGTCTATCCTGAGTTTCCAGGCTAGTGGCCTGACATGCAGTTGGAGACTGCTCTGAGTTTTGACATTGATTGGTAGCTAGAGTTTATAAGGCGGGCAGTGTAAACATAAACGTGTGGATTTCTGAAGTATCTGAGAAATTAGAAGATCTGGCTTGCTGTATTTACCTGGAAACAGTTTGCTGGCCCCTTTAACTATTAAGACACAACTTCCAGTGTGCCACTGCTCTTTCTGTTACCTAACCACTGGCACCTTGCAGGCATTTGAGTTTTTGACTCTAGATAATTAGGTGGCCATGTTGTGTGCTGTTGAGTGGATTCTAACTAATAGAAACCCTATGTGACAAAGTAGCGCTGCCCCATAGAGTTTGCTAGGCTGTGATCTTTAAGGAATCAGAGCATCAGGTCTTTCTAGTGAGGAGCAGCTGGTGGGTTCAAAGGACTACCTTTCAGTTAGCAGCTAAGTGCTCAACTGTGGTGCCACCAGTGTGCCTTCTGCATGGCAGTGTTTTGTTGTTGTTTAGTACCTTCAAATTAGCTCAGACTTATAGTGTCCCTGTATATGGTTTCCAAGGAGCGGCTGGTGAGCTTGAACTGCTGACTCCACCATCCAAACAGACTTTGTGGTCCAATGCTTTATCCTATAAAACTGTTTAAAATATGTATGGCGAACAGATCAGAGGGTCCAAACCAATAGGTGTATAATTTTAGTGCTTAAGATGCTGTTCTTCCACATCTTAGTACTCATTTGACCTAGCTTCAATGGCTTGATAATCAGAACTCAACTAGAGGAAGATAAAAGTACAATTTTTGATATACAAATGTAAATTGGTACAATTTGATGAACTTCACCTATATTTATGGATTTATTAGCTCAAAATACCAACTGAGAGGGAAGGAGTCTTCACTTCAAGTATCAATCCTATCTCCTCTGTAC